TCTTTATAAATAAGGAGTCTCGGCGGCCGAGTCGTTCATCCGTGGGCTCTGTGTTTGTGCTGTTTCAGTGGGTGTTGTTCTGATTTTTTCTGGGAGGGATTCGCTTTGGTGTCACTGCGTGTGGGGGGGACACCAAACCGAATGCCTCTCAGTAAAAAACAGAGGGGCTCTGATTTTTAAATTTCACGAGGATGTTGCGGGTGGTGGCTGCAAATTATTCCTTAGGCGGTGAGTGTGGCAGTGACGGTGCCGGCGCCGCCGCTCTGTCCCGGGCACGGAGCGAGGGACAGACACAGCTTGTCAGGGAAGCTCTGTCTGAGTCACAAGGTGCGGGAGGGACCCCCAAAACCTCCCGTAAACCACCCCACACCCGCGGCTTCCCAAACTCTCAGAGAGGAGACTGGAACCAGTGCTGGGAGATGTTAATGCCAGGGAGCAGTGCCGCAGGGAACGGGCAAGACACAGCGAGACATGTACGGACATATCTGAGAAAGAGATCTCCAGGAAAGGACACGGATCTGGGCACGGTCCCAGTCACAGGGAGAATCTCAGATCCTCTGGGTGCAGTCTGTGCACGACCTGCCTCTCACACACAGAAACATCCAAGAAGCAGCCACATAATGTACTCTGAGACAAGTGGATTTTTCCTGTCAAAGTGGACTTTCTCCTTTCATTTTCCTGAATCTGCAGAGGCTTCTGCTCCCCTGGGGTGGCAGGAACCACCTCTGACAATGTTCCCTGCCTCACAGAGGGGGTCCCAGCCCAGGGGGATTTGAGGCCCTGGGGTCCCAGCCCGGGGGGATCTGGGGTGTGGGTCTGGGCCCCAGCACAGCCCAGGGTGGTCACATTGTGAGGAGGAGAGACCCCCAAAGTAGCAAACACTCCCTGATTTTACTGTGCTGTCTCAGTAACTGTCCTCTGCCAAATGTTTATAACCTTTATGTACCAATGTTTGCATTATAATTTTTTTTTAAGTGAGGGAAAAGTGCCACCTACTGAAGACTACGCAGAGACAGTGTAAGCATTACCGTAATATAAAAGTGGTCTGAGTAAGCTGACACTGCTTTTCCATTAATTTTTAATTAGGTTGGATGTGTGTTTGTGGAGTTCTCACCTTGTTGTGATTTGCCAGTTTGCTGCATAATACTCCTGGCATAATGATGCAGCTTTCTTTTTCATGCAGAAGAATCACAGAACCCCAGAGCAGCTGCAGCTGGAAGGTCCAAATCCCACCCAGTGCCACTCCTGCCATGGCAGGGACACCTCCCGCTGTCCCAGGCTGCTCCCAGCCCCAGTGTCCAGCCTGGCCTTGGAAAATGTACCATTCTCCAGGGCTGGCTGTGCGCGGCTGAGGGCAGGAGGGCGCTGCGTCGCTACCCCGGGGTTTGTGTTCCTGCAGGTGGCAGAGTGGCTGGCACATCCCTTTGACGGC